CATAACAGCTCTTGGCTCCTGACTTTGTGCTGGCCCTGTTTGGGAATATTCAGATTTGTTTTTATGCTGCTTTGGTACCTGTGCTGTGGATTGCTCAGTCCTGCACTACAGTTTATGAACATGTGAATAGGAAAGGGATCATCAGAATAAATTGTAAGATACTTCTGAAGTGTATTGATTGCTGGTAAACAATAGCAAACATTTTCTTCTGGAAATACCGTTGCCTAAAAACACTTTAAAATAATGCTGCAGAGGAGATTTAAAGTGTGCATTATGATAGCTAGAATACTGTTAAAATATTTATCTGTAACTATTCTTAAATTCATTAAAAACTTAATCTGATTCTTATGATACAGTAAGTCTCCAGTGACTAATCCAACAATTACATGCTTCCTACATGAGTAGTCTGAACATCACTGACCTTGCAAATCCTTTAGCTCACAAAAAAGTACTTTATGTTGGTAAATTCTTTTTCCTCAAATTTAAGTGGGAAATATCAATTTTGCCTATGCAGGAAAAGGAAACAAAAATGAACATTAATACTGAAAGTATCTTGTACAAAAACTACAATAGCTTTGTTAACTAAGACTGAGCATCGTCCTCCCCCACTGTGAGCACATCAGTTAATAATAGTAGGCATTACTCAACCACATTTGGCATCAGTAAAATTTAAGATGTAATCCAAATATCAGGTTAAATCTTTCCCTAATTTGATGAGACTATAGCTTTAATAGTAGTCCTATTCTTTAATTCACCATAGCCTCTTACATAGTCAGGGAGCAATTAAAGGTTGGATATGTTATAAAGTATTCTTTTTAATATATTGATGTTGACCACTTACAGAGAGAGTTATACAGCTAAGGAGTCTTTTTTTTTTTTTTTTTTTTTTTTTTCCAGAAAAAAAGAAAAAAGTGCTTTTGCCAGAAATGAGTTATAATGAGGGTACAGCAGCTGTGAGCCCAGCCAGTAGAAATAACCATAGTTGATGATTTCTCCAGTGATGTGCCCTGCTCCTTGAAACTCTCACAAATGCACTGTACAAAAAGTATTCGATTTGCTGCCAGCAGTGCTTTTCCTTGGTGCTGTGAGAAGCAGTCAAATACATGTAAGTCATGGTGTTCGTTGATCAGCCAGACTGACAAGGTGATGCTTGAGAATTCCCTCTTTTGGAGTGTTGTCTGATCTGCTTAATGGGAGCTTGCAGATTTTTCCCATCTCTACAGAGCCTCCCTGTCACCTGATAAATACTTTAGAGCACATAGTGGACTTATCCTTCTTCCAAGAAGTTGGTGAGTGCGAGATCTCATCCAGTCTGTTCATATTAAACTGTCCTGTAAGGTTTCTGTGCCTGTTTCATATTACAATATAGCCACTGGATCTGTCTCTGCCCTTGTAAGGCAGGCAAGTCCCATGAAAGTAGGTAAGAGAGATAAAAAATTAAATGCTTTTTAGATCTTACTAGAGATTGGAGATTTTTTTTTTTTAATAACAGAAGAATGATTCCAAAAATTCCAGTTGTTCACAGAAGGGTTACATTCTGCCATCTATCCTTGTGCAGAAGTCCCATTGGGGTCTCTCAGCAGGCTACTCCCAAAACACAGATGTTTCTGGCTATTCAGTGTTTTAATTCTGCTGGATGTTTCTTACTCTCCAGCTTTTTGTTACTGGAAGCTTCATAAAATATAAATGTTCCTTTTTGTTGACAGTGCTGTCTCCAAAGTTATCTAACATAAAAGGTCTCTATAGCAGCCACTGGGGGGTGTGAAACTCACTGAAGTAAACTTTTTTGTATAAGTGGAACTTCCAGATCTAACCCAAAAGCCTCTGTGTCTGTTTTTTTTCTAGGAACTTTCCCTAGAGTTTGCTAAAGAAAGAAACTCAAGGACTTGCCTATTAAAAAAAATAGGGTGTAAATGTATCCATGTCCTTGTAAAATTCAACTTTGAATGAGGGAATACAGTGTGTATTTATACTTCTGAGTTCTTGTAAGTTCTCATGCCTTATTGAGAGTCACCTATTTTTATAAGCATGGAAAGGCCCTTAATGTGTCTGCAGGCATCTTAAATTAATCACAACCAACCTTAGGAACATAGCAGTCCATATGTCACCCACCTCACTTTTTTCATCTGTAAAGGAAGATGCCATTTTCCACCACTTCCATGTGTTTGACATTGTTTTTTGACTTCTAGGAACGTCTGTAGAACCTCTGTGAGTGTAGCTTTTGGTAGAGTTACAGAATTTCCTTTTGTTAGATAGCACGAGCTATGCTGACCTGGGATTTAGGGCATTGCAACACGCTTCCATTTCACTGCCTATTTTGTATCAATCTGTTGAAGATATACAAGTTCATAACCCGCAATTGACTGTCTAAAGTCAGCTCTAGTTAAATCCCCGAGGCTGAGTAATTGCTGAGGCTTTCAGAATAAAAAGAAACTGAGGGAGGAAGAGGAAAGGAAACCCTTTACCTTCCACTGATTTACTTTATACATACCATCCAATTCAAATTTAATCTGTTGTGTTGGTTTTTCCTGTATCTAGTAGTGTCTTATAAATATCAAAAGACAAACCGTAATCCTATTACAAGCATCTTGTAATTTTTTTTTTTTAAGGGTAAGTCTGGAACATGCTATACAAGTACAGAAACACCTTTTGAATTTATCCTTTTAGTTTACTCAACAGTCCAGAAAAACTACAAAGACAATGAAATTAAATTTTCTCCGTGTCTATATCCATGTACCTTTTTTACATCTTCAGTATGGGGATACATAGCAATTACACGGAACCTATTGTATTATCCTTTTGAGGCAGCAAAAGTTAGGCTAGTGCTAGAAAGGTTCCCTGCTGCAATAGCATTGTGGGGGAAAATAAATAAATGTGTGTTTATGTTTATTTATATATATAAAAGAATATCAATCATTTATGACTGGAAAGATATCAAAATAATCCAGTGATATCCCATAGCTCTGCCCATTGCCTGATGTTCTATGGTCTTGAAGGAAAATTTACTCATAAAGCAAACAAGTTCCCAAACCCAGTTTGAAAGAAAGAAGGGGACTGAGTTGGCTTGAAATTCAGTAAAGTACTTTTAGAGCCTGAATCTCCTACAAGAGTTCTATTAACCAAAACTGATATGTATGTCCAACGTAAGAGGCAACGGATGGAAAATTTTTAAGACACCAGAGTGTTTGATCTCTGTAGCAGTAAATAGTTCTCAGTCATTCTAAAGACTTGGATAGCACAGGGCCTCTCTACCTTTGCTTGTAAGGGTCCGATTTTACTTTGATATTGAAGAATTGGTGCAAACTTTTCACTGAAAGGTACCTCTTGTAGCTGTATCAGCTTTCTCTCCACTGCCCTTTGGAAGTATTTGAATCAGAAGATGCTAAGGAAAACTCAGGTTTCTCTAGCTGAGATGACACAGAATAATACACAGCGACCAAACAAAATGCAAGAGACTTGCAGACTGTTACTTCCTGAGCCTGAGCTGGCAATAAATTATAAAGGAAGTAGGTTAAGAAACTTAGTGACCCAAGAGACAACAGAAAAGAGGTCAGGCACTCTGGGTGTCACCTTGGGCAATGTGAGATAGGGGAATATATCTGTTTTCCTAAAAATTGCCAGATGACCTGGAGATCTGGAAATGGTGCATATATACTGAGTGGTATGAATGATGCTGCTGCCACACCTGCACCTGACACCGTGGAAGCCTGCTGGGTTCATGATGCATTGTGCTGCTACAGTGTGAGTGGCTAGAACTATTTTTGGACATAACGAAATAAGGATGGAGGTTATTTTTCTCTACTAACTACTTTCTTCAGCCTGTCTGGATGATGAGCAGAGAGATTTTCTGACTCCTCTCAGAAGTTTTGGAGGTTCCAAACTTGACTGAGTGTTTCAGTAGCACTAGTAACCTGTTAAGTATAATTCCGTGTTATTTGATAGGGATTTTCCCATCCATCCTGCATTCCTATTTTCACAGGAAGTGAGTATTTTATGCCACAAGTGACCCATTAGCCTTTATCACCAGGCAACCACGTTATCACTATATACATACATAACTATCTCACAGAACGTGCTTTCTATCTATCAGTTCTTCTATCTGCATCATTCACCGTTCACACAAACAGTCCTCCATCTGCCAGGCAGGGTCTGTTCTTCCTATGTGTGATTTGAAAGCACCCCAGGCACCTGCCCGGCTTGCAGATGGTGTTACTCCATCACAGTCTGGAGTCATCACTGACAAACACAGCGTATTTCAGGGAGATGAAAGGGGATGATGAGTTAAGGTCTTACCGAAGACAATCTGAGCCAACCGTAGTTGTTGCGTGTAATTTTTTTGTTGTTGCCATTGCCAAACTGTGGAGGAGGTGAGGTTTTGTTTGTAACAAGTCTCCTATCTACTTTGGAGGGGGGGGAGAACACCCACGCTGCAGAACGGAGGGCAGAAATCCCGATTCCACGTTAAAACTACCCCCACGAAACCTTTCAGTGGTCCGGCGCTAGCTCTTCTAGATGCTGTTTTTCTGCTTGAGTGTTTTTGGTTTGGTTTTTTTTTTTTTTTTTTTAGTTTTTTCTTTCCCCTTTTGGTGCTATTTTTTGCGAACGAAAAAAAAAACAAAAGTGTTAACAGGCTGAAGAGGCACCAGAAGGGAAACACGCCCGTGCTCGAAACTAAGTTAAACTTCGAGGGGTGTGCGAGCAATCCTTCCCGCGAGTGGGGGGGTCGAGCGGCGCGGCGGGAGCGGCGCCCCGAGCGCTCCCGGGGCCGCGGCGGGTCCCCGCCGGCCGGGAGGCGAAGGGAGGAGCGGGGGAGCGCCGGGGCAGTGCCGCCGCTCCTCCCTTCGCCCTCCGGCACCGCGCCCGGGCACCGCGGGGTGTGAGCCTCGGCTTTCTCCCAGAAACTCCGGGAAGAAGAGAGGGGGATGCTGCCCTTGCGGCGGTGCGGCGCGGCGGGGTGCGGGGGACGGGGGAAAAGAAGACCTCGCAAGCGGCGCTCTTACCCCCTCCATTTTTGTAGCAGAGGTATGGAAATCGCCAGACGTTGGCCAGGTCCACGGCGAAGCCGATGACGGAGAGGAGGAAGTCGATCTTCTTGCCCCAGGTCTCCCTGTCCTGGGGGCCGTAGCGCGGCGCGGGGGCGGCGGGCAGGAGGCTGCTGCTGGTGTACTGCACCCCGTTGTGCTCCTTCACCAGGATCAGCTCCACGTCCTTCTTCGGGGGCGGCGGCCCCGCGCGGTCCGGCAAGGGGGCCACCACCGACACTTTGCGCTCGGGCTGGACCTGTTTGTTCATCCTCGCCTTAAACATCCAGGGAGAGAGAGAGCGGGGCTGAGGAGGGGGGCGCGGATGACGGAAGCGCCTTCCCGCTGGAGGCGACTCCGCGCTCAGCCCGGCGGTGTCAGCGCGGCGGGAGCGAGGCACGGCCGTAATAAGAGCCATGCAAATGAGGCGGGAGAGGGGGGACCGGGGCGCCCCCGGGGAGCGGGGCTGCCCGCGCCCTTCCTCCGCCGGGGAGCGGCGGAGCCGCGCCCGCACCTGGGGCGGCACCGGCAGCTCTCGATCCCGCACCGGCTGGCGCTTCCCCCCGAGCTGGACACTCCGGGTTCGTCCTGCCGCTGACTGCGGAGTGGCTCCTTCCCGCCAGCCAAAACACGCATCCCCGGGCAGGCAAGCTGGAAGTGCCGCTAGCAGGCAACAGGTAGAGCCTGTTTGGATCGCCCGCTTCCCTCCTTTGGCGGCTGAGCTGCGCTCCAGCGGCTCTGCCCTGTCCGCTAGAGTGGCTTTAGTTAAACGGTAGGATTTGGCTTTTGGTATCAGAACGCGGTAGGGTGCAGGCTGAATAGCACAGCCGGACACTGCTAATGCTCCTACGCCAGGACTGATGGATGGCCAGCTTTTTCTGTCATGGCAAGAGTGAGGCTGGTAGAATTCAGTTGTCAGGTTGAGGTATTTGTAGGGCATTAACTATTTGCCGCTATTTCAAATGGAATGTGAGTCTTTTACATGTAAACAATTATCTGGCAGAGCAGTGATTGGTGCCAAAAGTTGGCAATGCAGCAAATACAACTGCAGAAAGGGGTTTTCAGGAACTCTTCTTATTACAGTTGTGAATGGTAACTCTACCTTCAGTGTCAGTTTGGGGAATAAAATTTGAACACAAAAGGCAGAAACTGGCTTCCTCTCCCCAACACTAAGCAGCTTCCCTTCTGCTTGGCATCAGTGAGAACAGGTCAAACCACAGAGTATTCTCAGAGGTGTTGCAGCCTACCATTCTATTCACTCTGCTAGGATTGATAATGCAGTGTTGTAATATATAAAGAGGCACTAGTCAGAGTTCACAAGGAATATGAGATTTCTCTGCAAACTCGTAAAGTTAGAAAGGATCCCAACTCAGAATTAAAGTTCACTTATTGGCATCCTCCCCTCCTTTCTTTAGGCCACAGATTACAAAGATGCTAATAAAACAGCAGTTGAAAATTTGGGGGTGTTCTGCCTTCACAAAAAACACTTGGTTCAAGCTCTCGGATCTCGGTGAAATATTTGAGCAGTGGCTATACTGCTTCAGAGCAACTGGGTGCTTAGAACATACAGCTTATGTGATTGCTCTGTGATTTCCTGTGCTCATCTTCTTCAAATACACCACATAAGGTTTTTTCTCTATTCTTTTTGACACTTCATGCCATATGTGCTGTAAGTTCTTCCCCTGTCCATAGTCATGGACATGCTCTGCCCTATGAACACTTGCTGTTTGCCTGTGCAACACAGCCCATGGGACCATGCTTACGTGCAGGTACACTGCTGCCCAGTCCTCACACCATCCCTCACTCCTTCCACCACATCCATCCAACACATACCCATGTTAGATGCAGTGCCCCCAAATATGCCCCTGCTCCCCTGCATTTTAGTGACCCTGCACACCCATTCTCCCACAGCAAATAAAGGGCACGTTCTGTTTTGGACAAAAAGGGAGCCCCTGCTCTGCAGAGCCCTAAAACCATCTTGACGACAGACTCACCAGGTAGCACTGAGGATGTCTCTGTCCCATTCCCTGGTACCTATGGGGAGGGGGAAGATGGCTGAAGGGGATTCCTCCTTCTTGGTTCCACCACTCAGGGACTGCAGTCTCTCTGGGAGCTGAAGCTGTAGCCTAGCCAGTAAGGAGCTTTTTAAACCTGGTTCCCCTCTCTCCACGTGACTATTGCTGCCTTAATGATCTGCACGGACTTTCTGCACTAGACAACAGCACTCCCATATGGCTTCTGGAAAAATAAGGCCTTGCTAAGGAACACCATTTTCCCCACAAGGTCTCAATTAGCTGAGCCTGATCATGATGTGTATGTTGAGAGGAATCTAGAAAGCCCCCGCTTATTTCCTAAGAGAATTAAGTCATTCTGCATATAAATATACATATACATACATGTATATATATATATATGTGCCTTTAGTTCTTGCATGGAAAGTGTGCACAATCTGGTTAATGCAATATCTGCTGCACCCTCAAGGTAAGAAAGTCCTCAATTGGATTTTATAGAAAAGTTGCTTAATCTTGAATCTGTCTGGATCTTATTATGCCTAATGGAGGCTGACAGTGGGTGAAGTTGAAGTCAGAGAAGGGAATATTGTATTTAGAAACCTCAATGTAGCCAGGCAAGATGGCAGGGTGTTAGTGATATTCCACTGTCAGCTGGGAAAAAGGCTGTAATTTACTTCAGAAAATAGTCTGTCATTCTCTCAATGTATTGGAGAATATACTATATGCTCTAACAGTAAGCAGAGGTTGTCACTCTCGCACATTAGCGTCTCTGAAGAAAAAACCTCCAATGAACAACAATTTAGTTTGCACTTCCAGATCTCCATTTGCTGATGGTGTGAAGGCTTACTGTGCTTGTTGGCAGCAGGGTTTGAATTCTCCAGCTTGGCAGCACAGCCCTCTGCCACTGATATTACAGAAATACAGAGGCTGGCTATTGTCCTTCCTGTGAACCATCTTTTGAGAAGGGCAGTATCAAACTGTTTAAATATGCTGAAACTTGCACTTTACAGTTGGTGAATCTGAAAGAGTCTTGCTTCATGTGATGTCTGATACACTTGGTGCAAGAGCTTGGCAGCTGAGCCAAACAAAACAGTGACTGAGCAGGGATATGATTGCTTTATAAATAAATTGAGGTAAATGTCACGAGAAAAAAATACACTACCACCATTTAAACTAAAAGACCACGGAATCATGAAAATTTAGTTAGAAAGTGAGAAGAATTCTAACTGTCAAAGCAGTGAATGCAGTGGGAACTAGAGACCTGGAGTTTAGGATGTTGTTTTATGAGCAGGTTTGTATGATGAAGTTGCTTGTGAGAACTGGGATTTGGACTTGCAGACTCAGGACATCAGTTTCTTATTCTAACCTAAGATATAATGAAAAGAGGAAAAGGGGCAAGGGTTATATACACTAAGTATTTAATTTCACATCCTGGTACATCCACAGAAACTCTGAGCTCATTTGGGCCTTGGGGCTCACCAGCACTAAAAGACTAAATATTTCTCAAACAAAGTGCATAAGTTGAATAAAGTTAAGTTTGGTCGTTCTGTGATAGAAGAAACTTGGGGAATAGCCAGTTGCTGTGGGAACTGGGAACAAAACCTTCTGACTAAATCAATGTTAAAACAATTTCACAGTGATAGGAACATGGCATTGGCAGGGGTGCCCATCTTTCTAGGTTAGCAGGTAAAGGATACCATGCTGTAGACCATATTGGACATCTTTTGATGACAGTCAATATATCAGCTCCAGCTACTCGGAATTTTACGAGTGGGTTGGGCAGGTCTGCTTCATAGTGTCTCTAAAATCATAATGCCATTCCAAATCTAGTGTTTACTCAGTATTTAAAAGCTCTGTATTGTATTGTTAGTAGGCTGTATTGTATTGTTAGTAGGCTGTTGTCATAGTATCTCTTCCTTAGAGCTAAAGAGACCTTTCTTTCACTGAGAAGGGCCTGTTTGGGTCGGTCCAACCCTGCATTTTGACAGCGCCTGTCATGCTACAAGCTGTCTTCAGACTGAAAATAAATATTACAAAATCACTCCACAGTGTTTTAGTGTTGTTTATGCAAACATGCCAAGTTGTAGGGGAAGATAAGGCCTCTCCCTGTTTCTTATGATAGTAACATTTGTATCTTCCTTATCAAGTTGCTTGAGATTGTCACAAATACACACCTCCAGAGCTAATTTTACCCATTACCTCTGGCATCAGATGACTTTCTTCATGAGGGCCATCAGTGTCATGCCAGAAAGCTATCCCATGACATCTTTATAATTTTATAACATATATCATTTTATAACAGTCATAACATGACTGTGCATGAGATGCTCTCCATCCTCCTCCCTTCCTCTTGACTTGTGCAGGGTCCAAAAGGGAGCCAGGGCACACACTGACCTAGTCTCTGCTTTGATCTCTGCTTTGAACAGTAAGAGAACCAGTACATTTGGGTTCTCTGTAGTGCTTCCTCCAAGTTCACCATGTCACGTCTGTGTAATCTTTCTTTTTTTCTGGTTGAAATAAACCTTTCCTGAGGAAACATGGCCTAGGTTTCAGATGGAGTCTTACAAACCTTGAGTGAAATAGTAATGATTCCCGGGACTATCAGCCAAGACTTTAATGAGAAGGGGATCTCACTTGCCTTTTTCAAACCTGTATTAAATGTTTGTCTACAGACAAGTTGTATACACTGAAGTCATTCTGCTCCATCACTTTCATTCTTAAAGGCCAGGTTTAACATTTTACTCTGTTTGCTTCCATTAATTTCTGTTATGCTATGTTTCCTTTTTTTTCCCCGTGTGAGTCCCATTCTTCACTAATTCAATATTGCCTGCCAACTTCATCATCTCCAAATTTCATTATCAAACACAAACTTTTGGGTGCATATTATTAATGCAAATATTTAATAAGATCATTCCCATTAACAGATCTTTCAGGATGGGTAATCTCACTCCAAGCCTGTAATTATCCTTATAGCACAACATGGTATTATATCCTCTTTAGTCAGTTCTTTTCCTGTCTTAACAATTCTATTTATCTCCACGTCTTCTGCTCAGACTAACAATTACAAGTGTCATTGCAGCAGTTACTTTTGTAAAGTCGTGATAGATTAATATCTACCACGTTTTCCTTGCTTTTATAAAAGGCAGTTATCAGAACAAGGTGCCAGATTAATCTGTCTTCCTTTGGGAAGCTCATTTCACATGTAGGAATTTTCTGTGCTTATGCACCTATGGATAGAATTTGTGAAAAGTGTTTTAACTTGGGAGATCTGTGTGGTCATAAGATTATTTGCATCTCCCTAAATCAAGGCTTTTGCAAGACACTTTGTAATTTCTGTC